TATTGAGTAATAGTTGTTATTGATAACTTAAATAATATGGATCAAAATATTGACTCACACTAACACACCTACATAATTAAAATGTTAAAAGAAACGTTTTATGAAGGTTTAAACTGAATATTGGATTTAAATCTCCATATCATGTGGATAAATAAAACACAATTGCTGATAGAGAATATAAATAATGATTTTTATTTTGCAATATGATATTCATGTATCATTTAATGAGTGGTGAGGAAAAGGATCCTATTGTAAGACAAACAATATTTGGCCAGTAGCTTGTTAGGTGAAGCGCTATCAGAAGTGTTAGAATGACCTTGAATTGTTAAGAATTAAAAATAATAATACTGGAGAATCAGTGCCAAGTGCCATGAAATTAGGCCTGCAATTTGCTAACATGAAGAGCTATCAAATATCTAAAAACATAGACAAAATTAAGGAAGAAATGCAATGCTTTTATGTAAGTAACAATTTTTGGCCTGCTCAAATAGATAACCCTGAATCATGTAATAGGTCTGGCATATATTAGATGTGTTAAAATGTTGAAATAAGATCTTTTAATGAATCAAGTAACCTAGAATAAAGATGCTTCTCCTGTACATGTGGCTTGTAAGGGTGGATAGCTATGAGATGTGTTAAAAAAAAAATTACCTTTAAATAACCCTGACTTACACTAAGGGGAAAAAACAAAGAAAGTGTGTTAGAATCTTCTCTATGCAAACATAAAAAAAAAATTGGACTGTATGTAATGGGATGAAGGGCTGTCATATATATCAAAATTTAGTTCCTTGACATACATTTAACTCCAGAGTTGCAATTTTTGAACAATTCAAATGGCTTATTTAAAGAACTACAAAGTGTCAAGTGATGATGCCTGTTTCTAGACGAGCTGTAGCTAGGGCTACCGTTTGAAATAGATGACTTTGATGAATATTCAAAGGCACAACAATGACTAAATGAGTTGAAAATTTCAAATTTAATCTTCTCAAGAATTTCAACATAAAATAATATATTGTAAACACCATTGAAATATCGGAAATGATACAGGCACCTTAGGCCTTTTACCAAAAAATCTTTCTGCATGATTTTTGTAAAGCTTCAACATCCATTCCAGTGAGAATGAGTCTCCACAGCTTTATCGATTAGATAATGTTTGTGAATAATCTTACTTAATTGGATGTTAATTAAGGATTGGATTTCCCTTTTGTCTACTTAACGAGGCAATAATTATAGTGATGAACGGTATAATTACATAAACTACTTGAACTTGCTCCTGATCCAATACGGTTATCACCTCATAAACTAGACGAAAAATAAAACTATCAAATATGTTGACGATCAATGTTAATTTTGTCTTTTAAAATAGTAAGGTTACTCCGCCCACATGGTTATAGTTGACTTTGAAAAAAATGCCATTGTCAACAACTTTGCATAACTTCTCTTACATTTATTGTCAGTGACAAAACAGACGCACTAATGCAATTATAGTATCAATTTTTGAATACATTTTTATCCTCTATATTATTATCGACAATATCATGGAATAATAATGACACATTTCCGAGTAATATTTGGGTGGTTATAAACAATGTCGGCCTGAACACTGTCATTGGGTGCAAGGCAGTGCACATTTGCAGTAAATCACAAGTTAGTTTCCACATTCTGTTACTATTTTCATTAATTTACAATCCGAGATGGAAGTGCTCTGATGCAAGCAGATGATGTTTGCGCTCAAATTTCTGGTGCTGTCTATATGATGGTCGTGTTTTGATTGGATTCTTGCAGAGTTAACTTAGATGAGGCATCTGTTATTATCCTACTGGCTGTGTATTTGTTTATGGGTAAAAACTATCGGCTTTACGTAAACAGTTTGTTTTCAGTTCATTCGGTACTTAGATCCAGTCTGTTGATTTAATTGTTATGTAAATACGGAGTTGTTACACACCTTGCACCAGTCATATGTTGTGGTTGTGATATTGTATTACTGTTTCTCCGTTCATCGTTTGTAAATCTACAGGTTCCATGGGCCTCTTGTTAAAAATAAACAAATAATAGAGGTATTCATTGAACTGATGTGACTATTACGCTTGACTAGAACATTTTGTTGTTGTGTATTGATGGTTTGATGTACAGAGGGGAGTAACAATACGGTACGACCAAGGCAGGTCTATAACTGTATTGTCACATACAACCAAGGCAGGTCGATCTATAACTGTATTGTCACATACATGAACACTGTCATACAGCATAAAGTGCCATTACCACAAAACGTGATGTTTGGACTGCAGAGAAGAACAGTTGTAAAGCCCCTGTCCTTTAGTGATAAGGATCGTTCTAGCTTTAGAGAACAAGATGACAATGGCTAGGGTTTAACTAAAATGTTACACACAACTGGTTGAAGAGTTGTACGTGTTATCATTCTGTAAGAAAGTTATGGACAACGGTATTCATCCATTGTGATAGATTTACTGATGTGGTCATCGTTAGCTACATATAAACTATGTTGAAGAGATTTTTATCATTCCGTAAGAAGAAGAAATCAAAGCGCAGACTGAGACAGGAGCTTGTGTGTCCCCGTATGTATTTGATGATGTACAATGTACTTTGAGTGTTCCCATACTATATGGCATTACTTAAGTGTCTCTGTCTGTATTGAATGTTATATTGTTATGTCCCCATACATATATTAGATGGTATACTTGGGTGTCCTTTGATCATTTGAGTGTCCCTGTATGTGTTAGATATTTATCAATTATGGACTTTTGTAGAGATGATGATGCGTTGACCTGAGAAAGTGTCATTTGCAAAGACATAATCAAGGTTGATAAAACTCTTTTCAGATCCATATAACCACATACTCACCAAAATAAAAGTCTTTAATTGTTGTATCATACGCTAAATAGTGTTTTGATCGTTAACGAAGATGGAATGTATCAAAAATTATACGGAGGAAAGTACTGCATGTTTCAGAGAGCATTGTGGCGTCACAATTAAAATGATGTCCAAATGTGAATATTGACCTGCTGTTTCTGAATATGGTAACACCAAGTCTATATCACAAATCACCAGCCTCCATGTGATCATGATGGAACCAATGAAGATGTAGGAACAATGAGTGCCATCTAAATATAATATTAAACTCTATTGTATCTGTACGTATTGGATGTTATACTCCAGTGTCCTTGAATTTACTATATATTTAAATTCAGAAATATCCCCTTCTGTATGTAATAGTATACTTGAGTGTCTCAGAGTGTATAAAATCAGAAATGTCCCCTTCTGTATATAATGGTATACATGTACTTAAGTGTCTCAGAGTGTATAAAATCAGAAATATCCCCTTCTGTATATAATGGTATCTTGAGTGTCTCAGAGTGTATAAAATAAGAGATGTCCCCTTCTGTATATAATGGTATACATGTACTTAAGTGTCTCAGAGTGTATAAAATCAGAAATGTCCCCTTCTGTATATAATGGTATCTTGAGTGTCTCAGAGTGTATAAAATCAGAAATGTCCTCTTCTGTATATAATGGTATACATGTACTTAAGTGTCTCAGAGTGTATAAAATCAGAAATGTCCTCTTCTGTATATAATGGAATACATGAACTTAAGTGTCTCAGAGTGTATAAAATCAGAAATATCCCCTTCTGTATATAATGGTATCTTGAGTGTCTCAGAGTGAATAAAATCAGAAATGTCCCCTTCTGTATATATAATGGTATACATGTATTTGAGTGTCTCAGAGTGTATAAAATCAGAAATGTCCTCTTCTGTATATAATGGAATACATGAACTTAAGTGTCTCAGAGTGTATAAAATCAGAAATATCCCCTTCTGTATATAATGGTATCTTGAGTGTCTCAGAGTGAATAAAATCAGAAATGTCCCCTTCTGTATATATAATGGTTTACATGTACTTGAGTGTCTCAGAGTGTATAAAATCAGAAATGTCCCCCTCTGTATGTAATGGTATACTTGAGTGTCTCAGAGTGTATAAAATCAGAAATGTCCCCTTCTGTATATAATGGCATACTTGACTATCTCAGAGTGTATAAAATAAGAGATGTCCCCTTCTGTATATAATGGTATACTTGAGTATCTAAGAGTGTATAAAATCAGAAATGTCCCCTTCTGTATATAATGGTATACTTGAGTGTCTCAGAGTGTATATAATCAGAAATGTCCCCTTCTGTATATAATGATATACTTGAGTGTCTCAGCGTGTATAAAATCAGAAATGTCCCCTTCTGTATGTAATGGTATACTTGAGTGTCTCAGAGTGTATAAAATCAGAAATCTGGATTATTATTTTTTTACATACTTATTCTAGGAGGCACGGTTAAGTCTAGTGGTAGGACGCCAGGCTCGTGACCGAAGGGTTGCGGGTTCGAGTAACGGCACGGCACAGCACTGTGTTGTATCTTTGAGCAAGATACTTTACTCCACTTGTTCCAGTCTACTCCCCTGTAAATGAGTATGTGGTTGGACAGTGCTAGAATCGTTGAATGCTAGCTGTGAGCGCCAACATAGCACCGGCTGTATGTTCCCCAGGGAGTTTAGAAAGATATTGGCTGGTTGCAAAGGCCCTATAACCATGAACAATAGTTTGTGAACCGTTTTGAGACGACCTATGAACTAGGTTGTGATAAAGCTGTATACAACAACTTCAAATTATTATCAATTTAATTAATAGGTCAAAAGAAACCTCATTTTAAAAGCACAAAATCAAACAGCAGTATCAAGTTACTCTCTCATCAGATTCCTTTAAAAAAAAACATGTTATTCAATGAAGCATGTAGATTGCAAGGGTACAAGTGTATGATCAAGTTGTTTTAAACACATGGCTTTGAACATAAAATGGATCAGGTATATCAAAATCTTCAGCCAACTTCTGGTAATGAACCGTGAGTGGTAGATTAATGATATTTGGCGAGGACATTGCTGGGCTGAATCAATGTTAACAATGTTGTTCAAATAAATATCTTTTTCTATTTCCAGCTGGTGAGTTGCTTCCTGACACGGAGACTTCTATCAGAGCATGCTGGGAACCAATCATTGGCGAGGAGTTTGAAGTTGTGGTAAGGGAGCCCACCGTCATACATCTACTGTCACCCAAACCTGTCACTTATGTTAAAGATCACTGTCCCACTGCAAATAAACACTGGAGAATTCCACTGAAGTTATTTGTGTAGATACAGCAACCTCCCATTGTGACCGGGTTATGGTACTAACATGGACCAGGTAGCTCAGTTGTTTAGAGCGACAGTAAAATGATTGGAGGTCCGTGGTTTAAGTCCTGGACTTGGCCAATGGCATTGTTATACTCAGAACACTGTGTTCATTCTGGTCTGTTTATTTAACCTTTGTTGTTTTTACATAAAAGTTCTGCAAGGTATGATTTCCCTTTTGTAAATAATTGTCAAAGCTGTAGCAATGTCATTACAAAGTGTCCACTGTATAGTTATACATTTTTGACAGCGGTATGGGGATCCTTAAAAGATAAACCTGTCAGGTGTCTACAGCATGTCCTCTGCTCTTTAGAGTGGGTACAGACAAAGACATGTTAACTCTCCATCTGATAAGGTCTCGGCAACTGTGTCTGTCTGCTGTGTTCTCCACAGAGGTCAGGAAACTTGACAGACAGCTTGAGATAGTCCTGTACCAGGCTGTGTCTGTCAGCTTCTCCACAGAGGTCAGGAAACTTGACAGACAGCTTGAGACAGTCATGTACCAGGCTGTGTCTGTCTGCTATGTTCTCCACAGAGGTCAGGGAACTTGACAGACAGCTTGAGATAGTCGTGTACCAGGCTGTGGCTGTCAGCTTCTCCACAGAGGTCAGGAAACTTGACAGACAGCTTGAGACAGTCCTGTACCAGGCTGTGTCTGTCTGCTGTGTTCTCCACAGAGGTCAGGGAACTTGACAGACAGCTTGAGACAGTCGTGTACCAGGCTGTGGCTGTCAGCTTCTCCACAGAGGTCAGGGAACTTGACAGACAGCTTGAGACAGTCGTGTACCAGGCTGTGTCTGTCTGCTGTGTTCTCCACAGAGGTCAGGAAACTTGACAGACAGCTTGAGATAGTCCTGTACCAGGCTGTGTCTGTCAGCTTCTCCACAGAGGTCAGGAAACTTGACAGACAGCTTGAGACAGTCATGTACCAGGCTGTGTCTGTCTGCTGTGTTCTCCACAGAGGTCAGGGAACTTGACAGACAGCTTGAGATAGTCGTGTACCAGGCTGTGGCTGTCAGCTTCTCCACAGAGGTCAGGGAACTTGACAGACAGCTTGAGACAGTCGTGTACCAGGCTGTGTCTGTCAGCTTCTCCACAGAGGTCAGGGAACTTGACAGACAGCTTGAGACAGTCGTGTACCAGGCTGTGTCTGTCTGCTGTGTTCTCCACAGAGGTCAGAGAACTTGACAGACAGCTTGAGACAGTCGTGTACCAGGCTGTGGCTGTCAGCTTCTCCACGGAGGTCAGGGAACTTGACAGACAGCTTGAGACAGTCCTGTACCAGGCTGTGTCTGTCAGCTTCTCCACAGAGGTCAGGGAACTTGACAGACAGCTTGAGACAGTCGTGTACCAGGCTGTGTCTGTCAGCTTCTCCACAGAGGTCAGGCTGTGGTGGTCAGGAATGCTGAATTCCTTTGTTATCACCTTCTCAGACTGACTTAGCACCAAACCCATTTTTTTTATTCCATATTTTTTTATTTATTTATTTTTTGTAAACACTGCCAGGCAGACCAAACTCACCTATCTCCTTTTACCTCACATTGGTGGTTTATTGGCAGTCATTGTGACATTTCAAAACTGGAGTTGTTCGGAGACAACACAGCAGCTTTTATGCAGCAGGCTCTGGCAGCAACCAATGGTATATGCAGAAGACTGAAGAGCTGCAGAAAGCTGTTGAGACAGCTATTTCGGTGTTGCAGGCCTCTCGAGGCCTAGAGGGCAGAATGGTGGGTCTGACAAGTCTTCTTGTAACAGAGGTTTAGTACCATTAGGTCCTCTCAAGACCTAGAAGGCAGGGAGGTATAGATCTGAATAAGTAATAGGGGTTACAGGGTAGGATTTAGTTTTACTGCAGAATGGGAGAGGAACAAGGGATAAAGTTTTTTTTTTAAAGAGAGTGGGGAGGGGGAATTTTTCCTATAGAGTTGACAGGGGTTGGGTTAGGAGTTGTGATATTATAAGATAGGGTATAATTTTCCTATAGAGTAGACAAGGGTTGGGGTTAGGAGTTGTGATATTTACAAGATAGGGTATAATTTTCCTAAAGAGTTGATGGGGGACTTGCAATTTTCTATTTCTCTTAACAAATACCACGGATAACATTAACAATTAACCTCTTCTGTTGATTAGTTTTATGTTAGGTGGATCTATCCATGATCAGAGTGAAAAAAATGTGTTTTAACTAATGTTGATAATGTAGAAATGAAGTCTGTTAAATTTTTATCTGTTTTCTACAAATTAGTTAAATGTTAAGTGCACTCTGTACCTGTTGCTGAGATTGTCAGAAGTGACTACATTATTGGTGTAATGTCATTACTTTGATTCCTTAGGGTGGCATTCCTAACCTCAGCTCATGTAGTCAGGTAGAGAATCAATATCACATAACCCACAGATTATCTGTAGTATCAGAAGTCACGTCTTCACATTGCAAGTTCTGCGGTTCAGGCTCCATCCTATTATACAGACACTTAATCTACTGGATATGTGTCAGAGAGTTTGCACTGATAACGTGGTTACAATATAAACCTGTCACTCATGTAAATGGATGTGATCAACACTTGGAAAGGCTGTGTGGGGATGTTTTGTGGGGAGGCTTTGTGGGGAGACTGTGTGGGGATGCTTTGTGGGGAGGCTGTGTGGAGATGCTGTGTGGAGATGCTTTGTGGGAAGGCTGCGTGGGGATGCTTTGTAGGGAGACTGTGTGGTGATGCTTTGTGGGAAGGCTGCATTGATGATGTTATTACAATATAAACCTGTCACTTGTGTAAATGGATGTTCATATTTTTTCCTAGAATTAAATAAAATCTTACCTGTTTTAGCAGCTGGCATTTGGTTTTATGACTGTAGTACAGAATATGGTCATCAGGCTTTTCAAAGAAAGAAAAGGTTGAGAATTCTTTTTTTGAAAATTGATGTATGTTTTGTTTCTTAACTATTTTCAGGTGGCCCAGTTGTCTAAGTTCAAGGAAGGGGGTGGGCTGGGAATCAGCCTGGAGGGCACAGTGGATGTGGAAAATGGAAAAGAGGTTCGGCCACACCACTACATACGTTCCATTCTTCCTGATGGACCTGTGGGTGTCAATGCAAGACTCATGAGTGGAGACGAACTTCTGGAGGTAAACTACCCCAAGTCTTTGTGTAGAGAGGTTTTCTCTCCTGTTCATACTATAGTAGCATTGGTAATGAGTTGTATTCCTGTCAAATGTTTCAATTCACATTGACTTTAGTAAACCAAGTTTTGATATTTGTTCAAAAATCAAGGGCATGAAGTGTCACATAGCTATATCCATATGTCCCACAGCATCATCGCTATTCTTTTTCTTACAGAAAAACTTTAACAATTAACTCACAAATACATCAGTTGAGTTTACATTTTAAGGTCATGGATCCAAGGTCAAGGTCACCATTACTACATGTATAAGTAAAATAAACCTTGTCATTGTATTCTGTTTTCATATAATTTAGAAGGAGCATTGTATTAGTATTTGAGAGTACAATTACCTTGAATGAGTCAATGGGCCAGGGTCACTATAACAGCCACTATTGATTCGGATGGGGGACGGGGAGGGGTATAAATCTATACCCATGTCCGTCTGTCTGTTCCACATCACTGCCATTATCATTACTGCCTTCATTTCCCTATTTAATCATACAACTTATACAAGTATTCATGATCACTATCCAAGTTTGTGTTCGAGGGGTCTTTGATCTAAGATCAAGGTCAATGTTACATGCTGTATGGTCAAGGTAAATTTACAAATCAAACATGAAAGTGAGTATGTTAACACTTAAGGGGACATCCATCACATCCCCTGACAATCTTATAGGAAACGAAACTGAACAACCCTTACCTTTGTGTTACGCATTTGTTCCGTGAGTGTGGAAAAAATGTTGAAAATGTGTGAATTTTTATTTTTACACAATTTTTTACGCAAATGCGGGAAACATGCTGTGAAAAAAATGTGTGTAAAATATGCAGAAATTTAACTTGGACATTTTCAAATGCTTTTTTAGCTCACCTGGCCCGAAGGGCTACCAAGTTTGTTAAAATAAATGACCTTCACCTATTTTCAAGGTCACAGGGGTCAAATATATTAAAAACTTTAAACAACTTCTTCTGAATAACCAAAAGTCGCAGGATGATGATATTTGGCCAGTAGCATGCTGGGATGAAGGGCTACCAAGTTTGTTCAAATGAATGATCTTCATCTATTTTCAAGGTCACAGGGGTCAATTGTCTTAAAAAATCTTTAAACAACTTCTTCTCAATTACTTAGAGGCCTAGGATAATGATATTCCGCCAGTAACATGCTAGGATGAAGGGATACCAAGTTTGTTCAAATCAATGACTTTTATTAGGTCACCTGAGCTTTAGCTCAAGTGACCTATTGCTATCCGTTTTCGTCCGTCGTCGTCCGTCGTCCGTCGTCCGTTAACATTTTACATTTCAAACTTAAAGTCAAGTTCTGCTGGGCCGATTGAACTGAAAGTTGGTAGGAATGATCGCCTCATGGTCCTGACAAAGTGTTGTTATTTTTCGGGTCGATCAGAAATCCAATATGGCCGCCACGGCCGCCATTTTGAAAACCTATTTCAAACTTAAAGTCAAGTTCTGCTGGACCGATTGAACTGAAAGTTGGTAGGAATGATCGCCTCATGGTCCTGACAAAGTGTTGTTATTTTTCGGGTCGATCAGAAATCCAATATGGCCGCCACGGCCGCCATTTTGAAAACCTATTTCAAACTTAAAGTCAAGTTCTGCTGGACCGATTGAACTGAAAGTTGGTAGGAATGATCGCCTCATGGTCCTGACAAAGTGTTGTTATTTTTCGGGTCGATCAGAAATCCAATATGGCCGCCACGGCCGCCATTTTGAAAACCTATTTCAAACTTAAAGTCAAGTTCTGCTGGACCGATTGAACTGAAAGTTGGTAGGAATGATCGCCTCATGGTCCTGACAAAGTGTTGTTATTTTTCGGGTCGATCAGAAATCCAATATGGCCGCCACGGCCGCCATTTTGAAAACCTATTTCAAACTTAAAGTCAAGTTCTGCTGGACCGATTGAACTGAAAGTTGGTAGGAATGATCGCCTCATGGTCCTGACAAAGTGTTGTTATTTTTCGGGTCAATCAGAAATACAATTTGGCTGCCATGGCCGCTATTTTGCTACTAAATTCTAATAGGCCGATCTCACTTAAAATTGGTCTAGGAATGATCAGCTCATGGTCCTGACAAAGTTAAGTTAACATTATACTATTTTTTACTCAAATTGGTACATATTTCAACAAACAAACAAAAATACTGTAGACTCAGGTGACCGTTAAGGCCCATGGGCCTCTTGTGTATATTCAAGGTCACAGGGGTCAAATATGTTAAAAACCTTTAAACAACTTCTTCTGAATAACCGAAAACCCTAGGATGATGCTATTTGGCCAATAGCATGCTGTGATGAAGGGCTACCAAGTTTCAAATGAATGATCTTGACCAACTTTGAAGGTCATAGGGGTCAAATGTCTTAAAATCTTCAAGCAACTTCTCAATAACCAAAAGGCCCAGGGTACTGATTTTGGGCCTGTAGCACGCAGGGATGAATGACCTCGACCAACTATCAAGGTCACTGGGGTCAGATGTCTTAAAATCTTCAAACAACTTCTCAATAACCAAAAGGCCAAGGGTACTGATATTGGGCCTGTAACATGCTGGGATTAAGGGCTACCAAGTTTGTTCAAATGAATGACCTTGACCCACTTTCAACCTAATCTCCTTGTTCGACATTCAAGGACACAGGCTTCATGTTTAAATCTTTTAATAGGTTCTTGTGAATCAAACACTGATATTCTGCCTGTAGCTATATTTCAGTCCACTTTTAAGATTACAAGTGTGAGATTTAATACCAGGTGAGCGATGCAGGCCCATTGGGCCTCTTGTTAGACTTAGAATAATTTCAAGGTTCAACATTCTGGACTTAGACATTTTTTATTAACTTATATTTTACATTTAGATATCCTAAATATCAAATTTTGAGAGATAAAAATTGATCAGTGACAATAATAAGCAGGTTGTTACTTTCCTTTAACACTGAATTTCATGACTCTTTCCCCAATTTTAGGTCAATGGCAAGAGACTTCTAGGGCTAAACCACAAGGAGGTAGTAGGTATCCTCAAGGAACTTCCTCAAAATGTTCGTCTGGTGTGTGCACGCCGAATACAAAAGCCTTCCAATGATATCTATGCACAGCAGGAGAACCAATTCCACAGCTCACAGCTTAACTCCGGGGTGAACGAGGTCACGCCCATCTCTGACCGGCTGGTCAAGGCAAAGTCGGAGATGGCACTCGCATCAGTGGACAGTACTCCCATCCAAAACTCCCTCAACAAAATGAAGTCTCGGTCACTGGAACCGCTGACTAACCTAGCCATGTGGAGTGGGGAGCCAGTTGTGATTGAGCTGAAAAAGGGAGACAAGGGGCTAGGATTTAGTATCCTGGATTACCAGGTAGGCTTCTTGTCAGAAAAATATTATTTATATATACCCAATGATTTCAGCAGGAGAATAAAACACTATGTTCTATAATGGTGTCAGTTTGGTCAACTTTTGAGTATAGGAACCGAAAGATATATTGGCATTTGAATGGATGTTTATCTATTGGCCAACTAGTGTTTCAGGATTCTTCATCAATAGGGGCCGCATTGCCCAAGTATTTAAGGTGTCTAACTGTCTACAATCACTAGCCCTTCACCACTGGGCTAAGTACCGGCCCGGATCTATGTTTTTTCTCCGTGTTCTACAATTTCTACACCAGAAAAACCTGGGATGACCTTTAATTACCATAGCTTCAAAAGGAAGTAAAGCACAAATAGATCGAACAAAGTCTTGATCAGCATTCAAAACTAGTTGGCACATAGATATACTACCGACTCAACTGGTGAGCACAGAGCCTTGTTGTGATTAGAAAGCCATAACTGTCAAATTGAGAGACAATACACTTTGTGATTTTTTTTCAAAAAAGCATTTCCAAGTCTCACATTTGTTCGGTATGACAATTGCCTCCCTTGACTTTTTTAGGACCCCGGAAACCCTACAGAGACTGTGATAGTAATTAGAAGCCTTGTCCCTGGGGGCGTAGCGCAACAAGATGGCCGACTTGTGCCAGGCGATCGACTCATTTTTGTCAATGAAGACAATCTAGAAAACGCTAATCTGGACGAGGCTGTTCAAGCTTTGAAAGGTGCTCCCAAAGGAATAGTACGAATCGGTGTTGCCAAACCCTTGCCATTAGGAAATAATGCATTCCAGACTACAAATAATGGCCAGGTATGTATTTAGGAATCCTCCTGTCTGGGAAGGTTAAGAGTGTCCTGGTTTGACAATATCAGGATCAAATACTTGTGCTGTACGTGTTGCAATTTTATTTCTCAAGAATTAATTTTTAGCTAAACACATGTATTTCAACTCGAGCATATCCATGCAATTCCTATAAAAAGTTAGTTAGCACTACTGACTTTATACAGTGGCAAAAATGTAAACAAGTGGAAATTAATTATCTACCTTAAGTCACTAAAGGCTGTTGAATGGTGTAGTACAAAATATAAATGTATGTGAAATAATTGTCCCCCTGTAGAATCCTTAGTAAGGAGTATTGACTATAAAATGTGAAATTTCAACCCCTCACAAATTTTGCAAAAATCAAAACTGCAAACTACATGGTACCTAACAGAGCAATGTGTCAAAACAAAATATGAATAATGCTTAGCTTTTGATGTTCAGATGGGTTCTGACATTAAACCCATTCAGAAAGCTGTTTGATCTCATTTTTAAAACTTGTTCATTACTTTGAGATTGGAAAATCTAAATAAAATTGATTATCCTACATGTTGGATAAGTTACCTGGAAGTTACCTGTGGGGTCTGAAACAGATAGCTATTTTTTAAACACACCAGTAAAACTAACTGCTAATTATTGTAGGTTTATTGTACATTTTGCCAGTGTCCCAGAAATGAAACTTTTCCCCCAAGTATTACATGTCAAAATCTCAATAGTGAAAGTTGGTTGACAATATGTGATACAGATATTTGCACAAAATGAAAGGATGGAGGATTCTGTACAACAAATAAGACAAACGGACTGATCTGTTCCTTACAGCATAACCTGTGTATAAATTTACCAGTTTGTAAAAAGATATAGTAAATGCTCTCTGTCTGAAACAAACACATAGCAAACATAATTAGGCCAGTTGTAGAGTTTCCCATTGCTGAGAGTGATGTTTGTTATGTATTATTATTGTCAAGAACAAATGGATCTTCCCAGTAACAATCCGGATTGTCACAGCCTGGTTGAGACAGAGTGTAGTGTATGAGCTGGGTAGTGTATTAACTGTTTGGTGGTATATGTGTTGATGACAGACTATGTAATTTTGATCAAGAAAGGATATTTTAGCTTGAATTTCATTTCATTTATTATTACTAAATTCTACAATATTCATTGTGTCTACACTTAATGTTATGTTTTATACTCTTTTTTTCATTTCCTCTGACAGAATGCTACCTTCCCTTTGAATCACCATAGCTACATGGAGGGTGGGTATCACTTCTCAAGCCTTCCACAGCCTCCTCAGCATATAGCACACTCCGCCGAAAACTTACAACGACTTCCCGAGCAAGACAGCTACCCCTTCCCTGTTTCCATGCAAGAACATGCCGACTCATTCTCCAGTGGTGAGAAAACGGACGGCCACAAATCAAATCGTGATAGTTTCTATGAGAGTGATGAAGACACTGGGATTGTTTCACCTAATAATCCCGCCTCTGTTAAACCAATGACCACGCCTCGGACTCATATACACAAAAACATGGCGTCAGGGTCATACGAGAATGACAGTGTTGTGTTAAGTCTTCAGCAACAGCAACAAGCAGAACTTGCTGTGGACCAGACACCTCCCACCCCTCAACCACGAACTCTCCTACCCGACTACGAAAACTTAATAAAAACAACACAGCCAAAAGTAACGCTTGAACCTTCTAAGTTCACATCAGAAAGTCCACATTCAGTGTCTCCTGTGGAGTATGAAAATGCTCTCCCAACTTACGAGGAAGCCACGGCAGGTGACCTCGACGATATGTTTTCATCGGTCCCTCCAATTCCAGATGGACCTCCCCCTCCTGTACCACTTCGATCGGAATCTCAAACACAGCAGTATCCGGTGGAAGAGGTGATTCAAAAGGAGGAGGAGAGAACGGTTAGGGCAAGTCCCTCATCTGATGAGGTACGACATATCATAGGTCATACAGATGTATTCAGGTGTGACCTGATGACATACAGGTATCTGTAGATGTGTCATACATGTACATATGAAGGTATGATGTAGTGTCATACAATTATCTGTAGATGTGTCATACATGTACATATGAAGGTGTGACGTAGTGTCATACAGGTATCTGTAGATGTGTCATACATGTACATATGAAGGTGTGACGTAGTGTCATACAGGTATCTGTAGATGTGTCATACATGTACATATGAAGGTGTGACATAGTGTCATACAGGTATCTGCAGGTGTTACATAGTGTCATACAGGTATCTGCAGGTGTGACATGGTAATATAAATTATCCACAGTTATGAAATAGCATCACAGCTATCCAGAGGTATGAAACTGTCATTCCAGTACTCACAGTTACGCTGTATGTAACTGTAATACAGGTACCTACAGGTATGAAGCAGTCGTACAGATATCAACAGGTGATATAGTGTCCTACATGCCACCGTACAGGTGATATAGTGCCTTACATGCCACCGTACAGGTGATACAGTGCCCTACATGCCACCATACAGGTGATATAGTGCCCTACATGCCACCGTACAGGTGCTATAGTGCCTTACATGCCACCGTACAGGTGATACAGTGCCTTACATGCCACCATACAGGTGATACAGTGCCCTACATGCCACCGTACAGGTGCTATAGTGCCTTACATGCCACCGTACAGGTAATATAGTGCCCTACATGCCACCATACAGGTGATATAGTGCCCTACATGCCACCGTACAGGTGCTATAGTGCCTTACATGCCACCGTACAGGTGATACAGTGCCTTACATGCCACCATACAGGTGATACAGTGCCCTACATGCCACCGTACAGGTAATATAGTGCCCTACATGCCACAGTACAGGTGATATAGTGCCCTACATGCCACCGTACAGGTGATACAGTGCCCTACATGCCACCATACAGGTGATATAGGGCCCTACATGCCACTGTTGCTGCCATTACACAGCGGTCCCCAGTCCCCTTTGGTATAGAGGTGCTGTTTTGTGTGCCACAGGGTATCTGAGGTTATACATTATATTATTCACTGTCTAAGTCTTCTCAACAGCATTGATGTATTTATCGTGTGCTGTTATGCATGTAATTTATGCAGCGACACTTGTTTGTGTGTTTCATTATTCATATCGAAATAATTCTTTTGCATGATTTGGGATTTGTTTGTCATAATGGATGCTTTTGATCTGTCTATTTTGTAAAAAAAATCATTAAAAAAATTACATTAAGAAAAGAATACAGAAGCAAAATAAAATGGAATTATTATTCATTTTCTAGATAAAGCCATACACAACAGTTCATCACAGTACCAAAACACTAGATAAAGCCATACACAACAGTTCATCACAATACCCAAACTCTAGATAAAGCCATACACAACAGTTCATCACAATACCCAAACTCTAGATAAAGCCATACACAACAGTTCATCACAGTAGCAAAACACTAGATAAAGCCATACGCAACAGTTCATCACAGTACCAAAACACTAGATAAAGCCATATACACAACAGGTCATCACAGTACCAAAACAATAGATAAAGCCATACACAACAGTTCATCACAATACCCAAACTCTAGATAAAGCCATACACAACAGTTCATCACAATACCAAAACACTTTATAAAGCCAAACAAAACAGTTCATCACAGTACCAAAACACTAGATAAAGCCATACACAACAGTTCATCACAGTACAAAAACACTAGATAAAGCCATACACAACAGTTCTTCACAATACCAAAACACTAGATAAAGCTATCGCAACAGTTCATCACAATTCCAAAACACTAGATATAGCCATACACAACAGTTCATCACAGTACCAAAACACTAGATAAAGCTATACACAACAGTTCATCACAGTACCAAAACACTAGATAAAGCCATACACAACAGTTCATCACAGTACCAAAACACTAGATAAAGCCATACACAACAGTTCATCACAGTACCAAAATGCTAGATAAAGCCATTCACAACAGTTCATCACAGTACCAAAACACTAGATAAAGCCATACACAACAGTTCATCACAGTACCAAAACACTAGATAAAGCCATACACAACAGTTCATCACAGTACAAAAATGCTAGATAAAGCCATACACAACAGTTCATCACAATACCAAAACACTAGATAAAGCCATACACAACAGTTCATCACAGTACCAAAACACTAGATAAAGCCATACACCACAGTTCATCACACTCACTCACAGTACCAAAACTGAAAACATGTGTGCTCAGTATCAGATGCAGACAGGGAAGTAACTCAAAAACCATTTCTAGTACGTATACACTTCAAAGAAACAGGGAAGTAACTCTGAAGTTATTCATAGTCACAGATTAGTTAACAGAAACTGTAAACAGTGACAGGGAAGTAAAGGACTGGGTATGGTCCAGGGAACGGTTTTTTTCTATGATTAATTGTTATTTGTATATGTTGTTCCCTGAGGACTGAGCTGGGGCTGAATATGTTAATAACATAATAACTGACTAAATTTGATGTGAAGCATCCCTTGGTCAGTGGATTAAATTTGGATTTAGGATTTAGGATTTACTCCTACAGAATAGGTTAACAAAGAGAAAGTGTTGATAAAAGAACTAATTTACAATCAATGCCTTTTAATGTATTTTTCTTGGCTAAATATCAGATAAATTTTAAAACATGAAATCAGTGAATCCCTATTTGATCACTATTTACCTGATAAGACCCCAAGACATACATGTACTTTCTGTAAAACAGGACAATAATTTAATGGTTGTTGTCAAGATTCTTTTTTATCGGACTCGTCAGAAAACTGACCGTTAATACAGCATTGTTTTATGTTTCTTTGTGTGTATAACATTCTGTATTTGTTGTGCTTGAGAATGTTTTTAATTTTGTGTTAGTGAAGTTGGAAATGATTTTAGTTTTCATATGCTAGCCGCTTTCAATGTGATGTGATGATTTTGTTGCTGATTTGTTCGCCAGCCTGTGATAAGTGCAGTTGTGTCCCCGTCTGACAAAAAGGTGTCCTCGCCCAAGCGGACACCTCCCCCGATCCCTCCTAAACCGGCACCTCCCAAGGCTCTGCTGATACAAGTCAAGCCTAAGGTAACAACGCAAGCTGGCCACACTCTGCCTCCTCTGCATGCACAGATCTATGGGATAACTCAGACTTATACTAACAGCTTCCCACAAATTAACAAAAACTTAATGCGAAATAATCTGATTGCTTCTCGCTAATTTCTAAGTAATATTGCAATATCCTTTATGGGAATTTCTTGTTTCAGTGGTATCTTCCTGTCATATTTACAGATTTTTTTACAGATTTTTGTTATCGCATGACACAAAATTTATACGTAATATTCAAATATTCTTTACAGCAAATATTTGTTGAAAAAGTATCTTCCAATCCTGTTTACAGTAATGCACTAATAGCATGTCACATATTTTCTATGTAATATTCAAATATTCCTTGTTTGATTGGCCACCCCATCCACTGCCCTCAGAGGTCTATGTGCCCTTCATATATTGTCAAAGCCCTTTATAATGCCAACACTTTGCTGGACAAATGGTGACAGTATAACAAGGTCTGATTGTACTTCAATCTCGTGAAAGTAATGTGTCATCAACAGAAAAGAAGAAAACCCAGTTTTACAAAAACATTTATAATGTTCTGTGTATTTCACGTTAAATATGTACTGTGATACATTCCAGAATAACACCAGTTAAAACAAAACTTTTGTTGACTTTATTCACCTAGTGAGTTAGTTTGGTTGACCTTCTGTATTTGCGTGTGGCTCTTCTTATTGGATTTTATTTTCATTGTTGATTCACCTTGTCTTTTTTTTCTCCAGTTCTTTCAAAACTTTTTTTATTGAGTTTAGTTTTAAATTCTTCCCTATGTCACACATTGCATTTTAGACAACTCTCCAAAATATTCACAGATTTAAGTCAAACTTGGTATGTGCATGCAATTTTCAAATTTGCCAAGTTGGAAGATGAATGAAATCCATGAATATTTTATGATTTGATTAGGTTAAGATACTTCTCAATTCTGGTTGGCCAATTATTGCATGCCAACTCCCTAAATATTCATGGATTTCAGCCAATGATTGGATTGAAAATCTCAGGCCAAGTTTGAAGAGAAACAGAATCTGTCAATATTTGATTAGGTAACGGGCACTTCCTCCTTTTTGATTGGTTGTCTCTAGGTATATTCACCAATATTTGTATGATGCGCATGTTTGAAGTTTATTAGAATCTTAGGATTTTTAATGCGGTCACAGATACTTACTTATTTCTGATACATGTACATTACATTTAGGTAGAGATTGTTTATTAAGTGTTACCAGCATGGTTGAGATGGCTGATAGGTTTCTAAGGTTAGCTGATGTGTTGTCTTGCATGATTCATTAGTTTTCATTAATACATTATAGATGTATCTATACAAAGTATGGAGTACGGACTTGTACCAGTTTGACACGTCTTTTGTCACCTAGTATTCCATCACTCATTAGCTATGCATCGTAGACTGCATGCTGTTGTGTTTTGTATATGGGTAATTCTGTTCTGGTAGCCTTACTGGGAAACGGCCTACACCGACCTTGTATAATATTTCATACATGTCATGCACTGTTAGCAAGCTATTTAGATATGTGACAGAGCATGACTGGCTTAGTTTCTGTGGCTGGGTCCCCTCTAATTGATTTACCTGTAAGGTACAGCTGCTGGACTGTTTACAGGTGCTAGTATAGCACTATTTATTTACCTGCTATAGTCTACTGACATATAGGACCATGTGTTAACCTGCACTGCAGCTACGCCATAATGTAAGTCATGTACCATAAGTACAATGCTATCATGCCAAGCACCTTATATATGTATGTTGTTTGAAAGTTGTAGCTGAACGTCAGTGCTTTACTGAGGTATATAGGACCAATACTCACACATTTATGTATACTGGTTATCATATATGCACTCATTACAGTTATAAAACTTGTTAAATATACACAGTTTTAATCGTGTGCATTTTGTAATCAACATTTGTAAATGATTTCTGTTTGAGGTTATAAGAGAGTTAGAATGTCTCTAGTTAAGATGTTGTGTATGTGCTGTATCACTGTAGAGGAGTCTATATAACCTCACTAACCTATCAGCTTTGTGAACTACAGGATACTGTAACTATGCTGATGGTTTGTTTTTACAGGGATTTCTTTTTAAAAAACCATTTATTTACTTTAATTGATTTGTACATTATATAGGTGTATAGGTAAATGCATTAGGAAGACAAAATCAAGCATAAAGGGTGTGCTAATATTTATAGAACAATTAGCTCACCTGGCATGAGCGACATTTAGGTGTTTCGATGATACACATCCATCACTCTTCCTTCATTGGTCTGGTCAGCATCATTTTTTTTAGCTCACCTGGCACGAAGTGCCAAGTGAGCTTATGCCGTGGCGCTGCGTCCATCGTCCGTCCGTCTGGCGTCAATATTTTACTTTAAACAACTTCTTCAAAATAACCGAAAGGCCTAGGGTGTCGATATTTGGCCAGAAGCAAACTGGGATGAAGGGCTACAAAGTTTGTAAACATTAATGACCTTGACCCATTTTCAAGGTCACAGGGGTCAAATATGTTTAAAACTTTAAACATCTTCTTCTCGATAACCAAACTGCCCAGGGAGATGATATTTGGCCAGTAGCATGCTTGGGTGAAGGGCTAACAAGTTTGTTCAATTGAATGACCTTCAACAATATTCAAGGTCACGGGGGTCAATTGTCTTAAAAAAAACTTTTAAACAACTTCCTCTCAATAACCAAAATGCCCAGGGTGATGATATTTGGCCAGTAGCATGCTGAGATGAAGGGCTACAAATTTTGTTCAAATGTATAACCTTCACCCATATTCAAGGTCACAGGGGTCAAATATGTTAAAAACTTCAAAACAACTTCTTCTCAATAACCAAAATTCCCACGGTGATAATGTTTGGCCAGTAGCATGCTGAGATGAAGGGCTACAAATTTTGTTCAAATGTATAACCTTCTCCCATATTCAAGGTCGCAGGGGTCAAATATGTTAGACACTTCAAAACAACTTCTTCTCAATAACCAAAAGGCCCAGGGTACTGATATTGGTCCTGTAGCATGCTGGGATGAAGGGCTACGAAGTTTGTTCAAATGAATGACTTTGACCCACTTTCAAGGTCACTGGGGTCAAATATGTTAAAAATTTTAAACAACTTCTTTGTAAAATCTTTTAAGTCTGAATCTGTAGCGTGCTGTTGTAGAGGGCAATTTTTTTTCCAAATGAAGGATCCTTACCCACTTTCAAGGTCACTGGGGTCAAATATGTAAAATCTTAAAACGACCTCTTCTGACTAACCATGGGTCCCAGGATGTTGATACTTTGCAAGTTGCATCCTGAGGTAAAAGGCTATAAAATGTGTTCAACATAATGACTTTGTTTGACTTTCAATCACAGGGGCGAAATGTTTAAAAAAACAAAAATGGGACTTTTGAATGAATTTTAATCATAAATTCTGATATTTTACCTGTTGCTTTATTTTAGGTCACTTTTAAGGTTACAAGTGTGAGATTTATACCAGGTGAGCGATGCAGGCCCATTGGGCCTCTTGTTCTTTAAACAACTTCTTTGTAAGATCTTTTAAGTCTGAATCTGTAGCGTGCTGTTGTAGAGGGCAATTTTTTTCTCAAATGGATGAGCCTTACCCACTTTCAAGGTCACAAAGGTCAAATTTGTTAAAAACTTAAAAAGATCCCTAATGCCATATAACTATTGTGCCCCCTGAACTTGTTGAGGATGTAAAGCTTATTTTCAAAATTCTTTCAAATGTTTCTTTTAAAGATTGATCTTGTTCATAGAAATCAAGTTTGGCTTTTAGTTTGATTGGATGAATTATGAGAATCAAATTTGTACATGTGAATGCCCTTTATCCACTTTCAAGGTCACAAGGGTCAAAATTTTCAAAATTTTCAAACATTGTCATTTATATATCCATAAAACATTGAGTGGAGGTTATTCTCCCTAAACCTTGTCAGACTGAAGAGCTATCAAGTTTGTTCAGATAAATAATCATAAGGCACTTTCAAGGTCACAGGAGTCAAATATATTAAAATCATCAATATCTTTTCGAGACGTACGATGTCTACAGTGACATTATTCAGCCAGCAGTTTGCTGGTAGGAAGGATCAAAATTTGTCCAAATAGCATAGATTGTGTGTCTAGTATGACATTGACTAACTTTCTGAGTCACATGAGTCAAATAGATTAAAATAAAATTAAAACAAATTTTTCTAAAGATCCACAATACCCAAGAAAATGATAAGTTAACTTAAGTCATTTCATAGGTCATTTATATATATACAACATTTGATATAGCGCCCTATCTAGCTAACATAAACCACTCATAAGGGTCAAACATTTTCTAAAGTATTTTTTAAAATTCGCATAGTCCAGAGAAATGTTATTAAGCTTAGCTTATAGCTTGCTAGAATGAACAATTATATAGATCAGCTTTGCTAGAAAAAATATCTTGATCCATTTTCAAGGTCACAGGGGTCAAAAGTGTCGAAACTTCAATAGACTTCTCAAGTTGGGATGTTTCTGACATGATCTGGTGCATCATATATCTTTAATAAAGTATTTTTCTGTCAGATTGTCATCACTGTAAGCAATCATCAACGTTAATAAAAAAATCTCTTTTTAGTCATAATTCTACCTGGTGTTAAATTTTCCTGAAATTTGAAAGATTTTTTGTGTCTAAACAGTGTTGACAGTCTGATGATCTGTGTTGTTTTGCACTACATTAACAGATTGTCCCAGCTAATACTAACTAAACTGACCGTTCCTTTCAGGAAACACCTCCCCCTCTTCCAGCCTCCTCTCCCCCACAGTTAGACCAAGCTGGTGCTGCAGGCTTAAAGGTAAGCCCTAGTGCAGTTGTAGGCTTGAGGACAAGCCCTAATAAATGTGTAGGTGTTAAGGTAAGCCCAGTACAAAAGGTAAGCCCTTATGCATGTAAAGGCGTGAAGGTAAGCCCTAATAAAGGTGTATAGGTAAGCATAGTACAAAAGGTAAGCCCTAATGCATGTAAAGGCATGAAGGTAAGCCCTGATAAAGGTGTAGGCATTAAGGCAAGCCCAGTACAAAAGGTAAGCCCTTATGCATGTAAAGGCTTGAATGTAAGCCCTAATAAAGGTTTAGGCGTTAAGGCAAGCCCAGTACAAAAGGTAAACCCTTATGCATGTAAAGGCTTGAAGGTAAGCCCTAATAAAGATTTAGGCTTTAAGGCAAGCCCAGTACAAAAGGTAATCCCTCATGCATGTAAAGGCTTGAAGGTAAAGCCCTAATAAAGGTGTAGGCGTTAAGGTAAGCCCAGTACAAAAGGTAATCCCTTATGCATGGAAAAACTTGAGGTTAAGCCCTGATAAAGGTGCCGCTTGAAGGAATCCCTTAAACAGGTTTAGACTTCAAGGTAATAAGCCCTAATACAGAGTTATTCTTAAAAGTTAGCCATAATGCAGATGTAGGCTTGAAGGTAAGCCCTAGTAAAGGTGAATGCTTTAAGGTAAGCCTTAATAATGGTTTAGGCTTGAGAGATTAACTTGAACAAATGAGTGGCTTTAATAATAGCGGTGTGTAGGCTGAAAGGTAAGCCTGTAAGTGTTAAGATAATCCATATACAGGTAATGTCTTTGATATTCAAGAGTAAACTCCATCCTATAATACATAAAATGGTTAGTTCCACACTTTAAGACAATGAATTGCAGTTAAGATCTACCTCTAATAAAGTGACTTAAAGGTAAGCCCCAAATTGAGAGATCTGAATAGCCTTTACTAATCACTTTGTCTTTCTGTCTGTCTTTCTATCTGTCTGTCCACAAGTGCATTGATTTTAATTAAAGAGTTATCCCTATTGATTTTGGGGTGATGATGTCAAGGCCAAATTTGCTGCTACTGAAAATAGAACAAAAAGGTATTGTATTTTTTATCCAGGTGATTTATTAAGTTGCTTTCAAACTTCGCATCCATTAGTCATCATAGAAGAAGTTAAAGAAGTGCAGCTGATCGACTGACTGAATGGCTGGCCTGGATGATTGGGCAGATTGCATGCATTTGTAATAAGGCAGCTTCGTTCTGAATGGTTTATAGTTCCACATAATTGTCATTTGTCTGTCTGCTATTTAAGATGATATATTCACTCTGTGAAGCCCATTATTTCCACACAATTTGCTTAAAAACCAGGGCTTTCATTTTATGCAGTTGCATTTATTCAAGTACAGAATAGCATACCATGAATAGCATATGGAACTGCACCATCCTCCTTTTCTTATTTGACACCTTGCTTCTTTCAAGATTATACATCAAAATTAGAACAGGCATCCAACACTCTTCACATATTTAACAACCACTGCCCTTCAATTCAGCACATGTACAGTGGCTCTCTTATCATCACCAATACCCCCCTCCCCTCTCCTTATAACTGTCATCCTAGATCTCCCCCACAGTTCTTTACATCCACACCACAATCCTTCAGTTGTTGTACCCCACTGTTCACATGTTCACCCCCCCCCACCCCCCCCACCCCCCTCACCTGTTCTCTACAACTACACCTCCTTCCCACTGCCCTTAACATGTACACCTCCAACCACCCACATCCCCCACCCTCACCCCCAACCCCACAACACTGCCTGTCACATGTTATACCTCCTCCTCCTCCTCCTCCTCCTCCTCCTCCTCCTCCTCGCTTCCTTCACATTAGTTACGTATAGTGTAGAGGTTTACAGAAGTTTTTAACATTACAATCAGAATGCCATGTTTATATAATAAATATACAGTATTTTATCATATTATTTTGGAATTGTAGTGCACTGTTTTTATATGCTTATTTATTATTGAAAATGTTATGGTAGTTTATATAGACTGTACACCTTTGATGTTAATCATGTGTCTAAATCTTTGTTTGATTTTCCGTAAATCACTTCTAGACAATTCTTTTCATCAGAACTTGGTAGTTAGACTTTCCCTTGTAAGGTTTCCCTCATATGTTTGAAGCACGAAATTAAATACAATTTCAATTTAAGCAATGTTGTTTAGCACTGTAACTCTTAGATTAGGATACTAGCTCATAAACTCTGTGTATAATAGTTATTCAACTGTTACAGGTATGGATGCTGTCTTAAACAACTGGTGTACCCTTTGTGGTGTGGAATCATGTGCACTTGTGTGTTTGTAGTAGAGAAATAAATAACTTATTTTCTATTCTTTTCTTTTTCGCAAAAAAAATCCTATCACTACTTTATCTTTCATAATGATTTTCCCATTTTGTGTAATATTTGAAAAATCCAAAGTTACAATAATTTTTTAAAAATGTCTTTTTAATATCACTATGTGTTAATTCAAATATTTTATCTCATTTGCAGATCAGCCCTCGAATTCCTCGGCACCGTCAGACGGACAGTCTAGATAGTTCTTTTTCATCGTCATCAGAACAGGCCCCAGCTGCAAGTGACCTTAACAAGTCTTCGCCCTGTTCGTCCCCCCGGACGATGTCCCCAGGTCGTTCACCTATGTCCTCCCCAAACCTACGACGCACCCTCTCCGGAGGCTCCGACTCACTACCCCCATCTTTAGAGAAAAAGTTGAAGCTAAAGAAAGGGAAGGATGAACTAGGTATGTCAATTTAATGTCAATTTGTCTCCCCTTTTAATGAACCTTAGGTTTAAAGGTTATCCCCTTCTGGAAAAAAGGCTGTGTTTTTTTTTTAAAAGTTATTCAAGCAAAAGCATGTAAATTTGACCTGCAGTATAGTTAAACAACTGAAATGTTTGTTAGGGAAAGCTTCCTGGTATGAAATAGTTGTGTCAGGGGAAGTTGTGCATTCATTTGAAATGTGCATGCACTTATTCCAAAGCAGCTGAATTCTTCAATTAAGGTAAAGAATTGTGTGAGAGATATTTGAATTTAACTCCCGTAATGGTAGACTTTGTTCTTTTTCAGATTTCTTTATATCTTTAATCATTTGTCCAACATGTGGTTTTCACTGACATTTCGAGAAATTGTTTCGATGATACACCTGTTTGATTCATCTTGTTGTTATATTCATTATTGATTAAATATTTATAGATTGTATCTAACAGTTTTAAATAAAATTCATTCAATGTATAAATGTTAAAAGATTTTACTTGATATGTCCTTTATACAAATGAAAATGGGTGGTAGACAGCTTCAGTATACAAGTCAACCGACACAGCATACCAACATATTAGATAACATACCATATCTGAGATACCCAGCAGACGGATTCCACAAGGGGTAAACGAGTCTGACCATAAGTAGAAGAGTACCATAATCAAAAGGAATGCCATAGTGATGTTGTTTGTCTGTTAAAAGTGACAGGGAAGTAACTCTGAAACAATTCTTTAATTGTATAGGTATGACAGTGGAGGCTGTAGACAAGGGAATTAATGGCTGTTTGGTCAAGACTGTGTTACACTCGGGTGCGATCGGCAAGGACGGGCGTATTCAATCTGGCGATTACATTGTTGCCATCAACAATGAGAGTTTGAGGAAAATCACCAATGCCCAGGCACGGGCTGTAATCCGCAGGGCCACTCTGCTTGGCCTTAACATAGAGTAAGTGTACTGTATTCTAATTGTACAATGCCCAGGCTCGGGCTATAATCCGCAGGGCCACTCTGCTTGGCCTTGACATAGAGTAAGTGTACTGTATTCTAATTGTACAATGCCCAGGCATGGGCTATAATCCACAGGGCCACTCTGCTTGGCCTTGACATAGAGTAAGTGTACTGTATTCTAATTGTACAATGCCCAGGCTCGGGCTATAATCCGCAGGGCCACTCTGCTTGGCCTTGACATAGAGTAAGGGTACTGTATTCTAATTGTACAATGCCCAGGCACGGGCTATAATCCGCAGGGCCACGCTGCTTGGCCTTGACATAGAGTAAGTGTACTGTATTCTAATTGTACAATGCCCAGGCACGGGCTATAATCCACAGGGCCACGCTGCTTGGCCTTGACATAGAGTAAGTGTACTGTATTCTAATTGTGTGAAGTTTTAAAAGGTGATTCAAAGTTATTGGAAAATAGCATTGCAAGATTTTGTGTATGCCAGCTTGTTACTGTAAAGGTAATATATTTTCTGATGGGTTTTAATTCAATTTGAAATATTGGTGATATCTAAAATCTTGGTGTTATACACATAAAACCTCTTTTTATCTTTATATGACTTCATATGAAGATCCCTAAAGGCATAGAGTCGTGATATTTGGTATGTTACTAGCTAGGGTGTAGATTTATGATATTTGTTCAAATATATTACCTTTACCTACACTCAAGGTCACCGGGTTATTATGTATTAAAATCTTCAAAAAACTTCATATAATGAATAGTAATTAAGACCTACAATAATCTAATATCCCGTATCTTGATATTGAGCCATAAGTCTTAAAGCGTATACTATCAAATTGTCCAAGAACATGAACAAATGTCCCACTTTCAACGTCACAGAAGTTAAACATGTTGAAAATTGGTACAAATGTTCCTTTTATTGCCTTCATCAGGGATTGTTGTTGTTTTGGGGTATTAGTAAAATTTGAGATAGCTAGCAGCCATTGTTCTCAAAATCGATGGAAACTTGTCATTTTCTTGTCTAGTACAAGTAAAAACATGTGAGCAGTTCATGCCCCATAGGCCTCTTGTTTAGGTAAGTCTACAGTATAGAGAGAAACTGTTTAGAGAATGATGACACACGGTAATGGCAAATATTTGTGTCTTTCCTGTCAGAATGCCCCCACACCCTGATAACTAGCTATAGAGGACACACACCATTCAGGTCTCTGCATTACCCTGATTTATCACAGACAACCTGACACATCTCTCATGTTCTGGAAAGGTCAATGTTAAAATCTCTAGTCTTACTATAAGATTGTCCTTACTGATGTATGTAAGGCTATATTATATAGAAGAAGATAACTTCTGTTAAAAGAGTCTGAACAAAAATGTTGATTCTAATTAAATCAGGTGGCTGTCATATTTTTGGTCTAGAATAAATAATCTTCAACTGAAATCTAGCTGTCTCTTATGAAGATATATATACCATGAGCTAAAGGCCTATAGGATGGTCAGTTGACACAGTGGAAAGAACACTTAATTTCAACAAGACAATTGGGATTTGATTCCCTTGTCTGACATGAAGAGGTATTCGCCACCTGNCTCACCCCCTCCTCACCCCCATCCCCATTGCAAAATATATAAAGTTTTATTTCTAACAATTGGCCAATGTTATACAGAGATCTCTATTGTGTAGATAAAGGTAGTGTAGTAATGGAGAATTCAGGAAGCTTTAGAATGTCACCCAGCTGTATATGTGGTACCTACAGTATATACCCCCCCCCCCCCCCAGCTGTATACGTGGTACCTACAATAAACACCACTCTAGCAGACTCTAGACTGGTACAGATTACACTTGTTGGTGTAGACACATTTTAACAAGTCCAGCTTACACTCGACTGACCAGTCCAGATGACAGTTGACAGGTTACTCCCTTAGTTTATAGATTTGTCCCATTGACATCAGACCGGTGACATTTTAGACTGGTCCAGTTGACACTACATGGGTCCAGTTGACACTACATGAGTCCAGTTGAGACTAGACTAGTCCAACTAAAGCCATGTTGTAGACACTAGAAGATAGGTCAGCTGTCCCTAGACCAGTCCAACAGACACTTAAAACTGGTTCAGTCTATTCACTGAGGGTATGGAAGCAGTGGTGGACCCAGGGGTGAATGTTGCCCTATACCTCTAGTTGCCCTTTTTTCTGTGTCCAAAAATAATCTGGACTTAGGTTTTTGAAGATTTTCCTCTTTTTGATATGGGATTTTCTTCTAATATCAACCATCCTGTGAACTATGACTTTCTATGGCAAGCAGCAGTTTGAATATCTATATATATAAGCCTAAGGGTGCAGTTGCCCAAACAAGGAGTCCACTACTTATACTCTAAACAATAGGGGATTAATCCTCTTTTGTTTATATATTAGTAGGGTCTCCAGTCAGGTCAGTGGTGAAATTATAGGCTCAACGGACTATCTACCTAATCGTATATTCTAATGTCACGGTGTGGTAATCACCCTGTCCTGTCCGTTGAGAGAGGATAAACCATCTGTTGGAATAAGGTATATAGGTTGATTGTTAATTCAAAGGTAAAGAGTCCACTTCATGATAGATAAACCTGTATTTTCAACAGGTGTTGCCCTTGTACATATGCATGCATACAAATTCACAATTAAAGACAAACAGTCAAATCATGATTCACATTTATGACAAAATAAATCGATATTGAATTGCCAAAATGCTCGCCTAAACTACATGCACATGAAAGGCATGACACAAACACATGAAAGGCATGACACAAACATCAATATTTTAACCAAAAACCAACATTTTTATCATTGTTTCAGAGAATTTGTTAACACTTGCTCCGCTCGGCCATCATAAAATATTAATACTCTATGTTATAAAATATAACCTGGAAATAACCGCAAACTCAGAAAACTATTCTATGCCTTATTCGATCTGTTTGACAATGGAAATAATGTCCGATAAATTCTAGCTTTCTACACTTAGCAAAATAAAAAATTTGACTCGATCTGCTCAGCAGGGAAATTATAATTAGGGCCCCGTATCGGAGATACGGGTGCCCTATAGTAATCACTCTGTCTGTCTGTCTGTCTGTCTGTCTGTCTGTCTGTCCGTCCACAAATTTTGTTCTTGGCTGATAATTAACTTTGGTATTTATGTTGTACATGAAACTTGGTCAAAATGTTCAGTTCATAAAAATACACATTGAGGTAAAAAGTCAAGGTCAAAGGTTAAGGTCATTAGGTTCAAAGGTCAAGGTCAAATTTTACATCTGATGAACATTTTGTTATGACATTATGAAGCAAAGTTGTTCAGAATTAAACAAGGAGTCAACTGACCAAAGGTCAAGGTCACCGGGTCAGGGGTCAAGGTCAAATTTTGTAGCTTTTCACAAGTGAACATTTCGCTATGACATTATGAGCAAAGTTGTTCGGAATTAAACCAAGAGACACACTGAGGTAAAAAGTTGATGTCAAAGGTCAAGGTCATGAGATTCAAAGGTCAAGGTCAAATTTTGCATCTTTTCACTGATGAACATTTTGTTATGACATGATGAAGCAAAGTTGATCAGAATCAAACAACAAGTCAACTGACCAAAGATCAAGGTCATTGGGTCAAAGGTCAAGGTCAAATTTTGCATCTTTTCACTGATGAACATTTTGTTATGACATGATGAAGCAAAGTTGATCAGAATCAAACAACGAGTCAACTGACCAAAGATCAAGGTCATTGGGTCAAAGGTCAAGGTCAAATTTTGCATCTTTTCACTGATGAACATTTTGTTATGACATGATGAAACAAAGTTGATCAGAATCAAACAACAAGTTAACTGACCAAATATTAAGGTCATTGGGTCAAAGGTCAAGGTCAAATTTTGCATCTTTTCACTGATGAACATTTTGTTATGATATTAAGAAGCAAAGTTGGTCGGAATTAAAGAATAAGTCAACTGACCAAAGATTAGGGTCACTGGGTTAATGGTCAAGGTCATTTGGGTCCAAAGGTGAAAGACAAAGTGGATCTCTGACTTTGACCCTGGCTCTTGATGGAGGAGGTATAAAAGGTGAAATAAAACAAATCAAAGCTAACAAATGAGTATTGCACCGGTAATTACATTTCTGTTAGCCCAGCAGATATGGAGGTGGAAGGAAACACATCACATCATAGTACATGTAAACTGTATATTTTGCTTCCTTGCGATTCTTTTTGAAGTCCAAATGTCAGACATCAAGCTCAGCTATATGGGCAGATTGCTTCTTGCAGATTATGGGGGATATATATATAATTGCAACAAGACGGGGCCCTTACTGACCTGTCAGTGTTCTAGTTGTCACAATCTCAGAAATAATGAAGTTATATATATTGTTTGGTGCCAGAATGTAGTATACATGTACAACTGACATGACAATTATAATTTATTAGTTTTTTGAGTCTTTTTCTGAGTTTAAAATTTTGGGCAACACCCAAAATTAATTCCTGGGTCCCCCTGGGGAAGGTATTAATATGTGAAAGTTGGGGAGGAGAAACATGTTGCTCCCCCTCCCCTAAGGAAAGGTTACAAGCATGTGGTTTGCTGTCTTGATTTGTGTACAACAAAAAGGATAGTGTGGCAGGCAGATGGCTGGCTTACCCTCCTTGTCTTCAGTGGACTCTCCTCCTAAAACATTTGGACCAGTCCAATATTTGGCTGCAGGGGGAAGGATTGACTTCTGCAGTAAAATGTGATGTGCAGACTTTTATCTGTGCCCTAGGTGTTTAAACAATCTGTTACTGATGTTATATTACACAGCCTAGTTTCAACACATTACCAGTTTTGATTATCTGAGGCTGATAAAACACTTACAAACTGGTTTGAGAATGTGGCAAGCATTCCAGAGTATAATGTCTCAACAATGATCTCCCCTTCTCCATCATAGACTAAACAAGATATTGTTATGATGTCTATCAGTCCCCATGTCCATCTGGCTGGAGTACTAGTATTTCTGTACAATAAC